ATAGTCTTGTAAGCTTATTTTACTTTGGCTACTTCCATAATTGAGTTGGTTTCTGGGTTATGTCATTATATGTGTTAATGGTCATTTGTTGTTTACTGTTGTTGGTTCTCTGCTCAAAGGACTCCCTTTACTATCTCTTGTAAGCTTGATCTGGTTTTTATAAATTCCCTTATTTTCTGCTTATCTGGAAATGTCCTCATTTTACCATCAAATTTTAGGGACAGTTTTGCTGGGATAAAATTCTTGGTTAGAAATTTTTTTCTTTCAAGTTTTTATATATATCATCTCATTTTCTTCTCTCCTGAATGGTTTCTACCAAGAAATCAGAGCTTAGTCTTATGGGTTGCCCTTTGTAAGTAACTTTTCATTTTTCCCATGCTGCTTTCAGGATTCTTTCTTTGTCTTTGGTTTTAGTGAATTTGATGGTGATATGTCTTGGATATTTTCTTTTGGGGTCTATACTATTTGGGGTTCTTTGAACTTCTTGAATGTATACTTTCTCATCTTTCATCATGTCAGGGAAATACTCTTCAAACAAATCTTGGACAGTTTTCTCTGTGGTTTTATTTGTCTCTTCACATTCAAGAATTCTGATTACATGTAAGTTATTCCTCTTGATGGTAACCTACAAGAATCTTAGGCTTTCTTCATTTTATTTTGATCTTTTTTCTAATTGAGCCCTTACCAAAGTAGTACTGAGGTATTTGTCTTCAATCTCACTAATTCTGTCTTTCATTGATTTGATTCTACTCCTTTGCTCATGTAATGTGTTATTTATTTCTGAAATTTTAATATTAATCTTCCAGATTTCTGTCTAGGTTTTGTATCATTTCTAATTTTTCATTTGTTTTGTCATTTTGTTCTTGTATTGTCTTCCAAAATTGTTCTAGGGTTTTGTCTGTGTTTCCCTTAATTTTGTCAGTGTTTTCCTTGATCTGTCTCTCAGTCCATTGAAGGGACTTCAGTATAATTCTTTTGAAGTCCTTATCAGGGAGTTCCAATGCTGTTTCTTCCTTAGGGATGTTTTCTGGGTCTGTATCCTGGTCCCTTGTTTCTACTACTTTATCTTGCTTCTTTGTATGGATTGTGATCATCTGTTTCTCCAAGACAGTGTGATGTTGTTGTATTTATATTTAATTTGTGATTGTATGTTGGTGTAATTCACCCACGATTTTGTTTTGTTTTGTTTTGATATATCTGAGTAAGCAAGGTACTGTGCTCCTCTTTTCACTAGTTGGCAGCACTTATGAACTCATCATCTGTCTCCTGGTGGATGTGATAGAGAATGAGACTGGGTGCACAGATCTCTCTTAGCTGTTTGTGAACAGCAGTTAACAGTGAGTTGGGCTTATATTGGCTGTTCTTTATCATTGGCCAGTTGGTGCAGGAGCAAGTAGTGGTCCCTCACTCAGTAGGTGGGGCTTCCATAGGTGCAGGTATGGTTGGGTCATATAACCATGGTTGTTGTCCTCCACTCAGACAAAAACAATAAAAAAATACACCAAAAAAGTAAAAACAATGGAACAAAAAAAAAAACATACCATATAAACACACAGGAACAATCACCAAATGTAAATAAATAAATAAAAAGGAAAACAATAAATGAGAAAATATTTAAATAAATACTTTAAAGAAATGAAATATAAATAGAAAAAGAGATTTAAAAAAACCCACAATATTTGGGGAGAGGTGGATAAGAGAAAAGAGCTAGAGTAAAAGAATAATAAAGAAAAAATGAGAAAAATGCAAAGAGAAAAACAAAGGTTGGGAAGAACCATATGAAAAAAAGAGATGGGAACCAGAAAAGGGAAGAGAAAAACAAAAATACTAGAGTCCAGGAAGGTAAAAAGAAAGAATAAAAATGAAAAGGAAGAAAAAAAAGAGTAATTTAAAAACAAATAAGCAAACAAACAAAACAAGTTGGGGGAGATAGGGCAGGGCATCCAGGCTCCATCAGAGCAGAGAGACTGTGATGGAATTCCTTCCAGTCCACAAGGTGAGTGGAGGTAGGGGATGGCCTCACCTCCATTCACTGAGAGGGTGTGGAGCATAAGAGTAACAAGGGGAATAGCGCACCTTTCCAGTCATCACCCAGTTGTGGTTGCCCCTGCTGTCCTCACAGAGTGGAGCCTATTCTTAGGTCACTGAGATTGGAACACTGCCTCTTTAAATATCCAAAAGGACCACACCATTTGTAAACATTCAGATTGGCTGTGCTCTCCGGATAGCCAAAACTCCACAGCTCAGTTTGTCTATTCTTTGCTGTTTCTCTTTTTAGTCATCAGCCACCAGTGCAGTTGTCCATGCAGCCCTTGGCAAGCAGGACTGATTTTTAGGTTATTGCCTAGGTCCTAACACCACTTTTAAATATTCAGACTGGCCATGCCATCAGGGTAGCTGACAGTCTGCAGCTCTGTTTGTCTCTTTATTCACTGTTTTCATTCAGATTCTTCTACTAGTTGGTATTTAATACACTTCTATATCCTTCCTTTCAAAGCTCAGGGCTCCATTATCATCTTCTGTTTCCGTATCAATTGGTTGCTTTTTCCTTTGTGAAACAGGTCTGTGTAGTTTGTCTGTGTATTCCACCATCTTACCGGAAGTTCCCACCATAGATCTTTAACAGACAGAAAAAGAGAAAATGAGTACAGAAGAGAGGAAAAAGATTGGGTATCTAGAAGGGTGGAAAAAAATCATAAAAAAATGATAAAAACAAAGATTTGTGAAAGCAGGTAAAACACTAGGTGATACAGCTGATTTTAGCCACAAGGACAATATTTCCCAACTTGTCATTGATGGAACATGGCCCCATGAGATGATTAGCAAATAAATAGTTTCTTGGTCAAAAAAGTTTTGTGTAATATTTTGACACCACATTTCCCCCTTAGAGAGTCTCAATGAACATTATCAAAAAGATTCTGAGAAGAACTGCAGTAAAGAAACCTCTTCTACTTTGTTTATCATAAGAGATTCAAACTTTTTTCATAATACTGATCAATAACATTTTGGGAAAGGCTCCACTACAGTTATTTAAGAAGTAGGAAAGATGAAACCCATAAAATGTAAAACATATTTTGGCATGCAAGTGAATCTTGATAAGAACTGATGGGAAGGAAAATGGGACTAACACTTAGCCAGTGCTTATTATGTGTGCTAGCAATTGTATTGTTTTAAAAATATTTGCTAATTTCCCAATAAAATAAGGTAATGGGAGAGATATTTACAGTGCTTCTTACAAAAGAACTTCAAGGCACTTCTTAGCTGTCCTTAAGGGGGACTCAATAGGTCTTTTAAGAAAATGAAGGACTTTGAGAACTCAAGTAGCCTGTACCCATGCGTAGCACTGTTGCTTTTGTACCCACTGAAAATTTTGGAGATTCTGGAATCTCCCTACTCTCATCCCCTGGAGTGTAGGACAGTATACAGACTTGTGAACCAATTCTGTTTCTGCCACTTACTAGATCTGTAACTTGGAGTAATGTGCTCCTCTGAGCCACTGTAAATACCATAATAATAATAATAAATTCTTAATCTAAGAATTTGTGAGGTTTATACTTACAAGCAACAAACTTAAAACACTACTCAAAAAATGTCAGTCCCTTAAACTCCCTGCTGTACCCTTGTATCCTTTGATCAAAATATTTGTCTGTTGCACAAATACTAGAACAGGTTCTGCAGATAACACAAAATATGATGTACAGTTTCCACCTTCAACAGTCACTAATTGTTATTTAAAATGCTACCACATTAATCTATGGTCATACCACCTGGAATGCACTCAATCTAATCTAATATGCTACCACATTATATATGTGTCTATAGAACCAGCATATATTTATTTAATAGTGTAAGTATATATTACAATTATATAAAATAGCAGCTTGTGTATTGTTAAAGGAAAGAAGTACATTTTGTTCCCTATGATCCTCCAAGTCATCTGTCCTATCATAGGGCCAAGTACATAGTATTTAGTGTGTCTTGTGAAATGAATGAATAGAAACAGAAGTGGTAAATTGCACTAAAATTATATTTATTTTAAGTAATACAATATAACTAAATAATAGGATATTTTGCACTAGAGGAAGAAGCCAGGGTGGAGTCAGGCTGAGATTTTTCAATTTGGTGCTAAATCTCTGATGTCTTAACAAAGAGCTTATGTTTACCACTCAGTCTCAGCTGAGATTGATACCAGAAAATTCAGTAACAAAGCCGTTGTATTAAAGAAAATAATTATTTTATGAAACTGGATCTGGCTTTAGTCCTTTTTCAAGAAAGTTGAGTTTCTATTCAAATAGAATGATTGTTAATATGTTGGGTTTACTCCAACTCTTTCTTTCTTTCTTCTGTACTCATTGTTTTTCCCTCATGCAGTGGAGAGTAAAAAGCTGCCTCTTTTCTTTCTCTAAAATGTTCCTATCTTGTTATAGTGAAGCACTGAGAGGTGAATTTAGGGCCAGGAAGGAGGGAGTACTGCACAGTAACAGCTATTAATTTTGTAGTGAATAGCAGATCTTTATTTTAGTTTCAAGTGTAGGCAGACAAAAACAACAGCTATAATACAGGAGATTCTCCTTCCTTCCTTTTACACATTTTCCCACATTGACAGTGAGACTGACGTGGGAGAAAGCATTTTTTATACTTAAATAAAAATAGGACAAGCAGAGATTGAAAATTGCTGTTGATTATATTTTGTGTGTTTTCAGGTAGAGTTAACAGAATTGGAAGTGTCCTGTGTTCTGGGCAACTGGATCTTTCCTCTGTCACTCATCTCAGCCTACCTACCCCTTTCTACTGTTGTGGTCATTACCTTTCTCAACTTTTCTGATTTCTTTTCTGTTTTATCTACATCTTGGTACTCAAACACAAAGCATTTCCTCCTTCATGATTTGAAATGTGTTGACAGATTTCCAATATATTCAACACACTTAAGTGTTCTCTGAATCTTATTAGATATTACAAAGGGTAAGTAATGGCAAATAAATGAGTACAATCTCTTACAGGAATGGAATTCCACTATTGAGAGGCTGAAGAGTGAGGCGCTTGAGATTCTGCTATCAAAGGACTATGTGGAGAAGGAACATCTACAGCTTTCTAACCAGAAACTCAATCAGCTTCAAGAAGAATTTGGTCAGCTCATGGTGGAAAGAGAAACCTGGTTAAAAAAGGCAAATGCCTTTTTTAACAGTGCCAACAAGGTCAGTATGAGGTCAGGGTGATAATTTTAACTAATTATGGCAGTTCAATGAAAGACCTGTTACTTTAACTGGTTCAGATTCCACCTAGAGTTTCAAAACTGCTAGCAACCAAGAAGAGCTTTGAAGTACGTTTCTAACATGACCATTATTTGCTTCTCAAAATTAAGAAATGAGGCTTTAGCATTTAAAGGGTTGTTTTTAAAAATCCTCCAACGAAGGCTGTATCTTAGAGCTGTCATTGTTCTGTTGGATGGGCCCTAGCGTCCACATTGTAGTGTTTCTCATAGAGGAAGGCAATTACCATTAAATGTATCAAAGTTGGGGGAGTGGAGAAACAGCCTTAAAACTTTTACCACAATATCTTTGTTCTTTATTTAATACTCTCTGACTTGTCCGGTGAAAAGACATTAGTACTAGTTTTCTACATACAAACCATAAGGCTAGAAACAGGTGCCTCAACCTGACAAACCTTTCTTGGTCTTGCCTTTTTAAGTCAGCCAGAGAGAAATCCTGCTTTGGACTGTCTCCAGGTCTTCTTGAGTGTGAGAAATGCTCTCCTCTTGGTTTAGTCATTTAATATTGATTATGGCATGTGGTTCTGTTGAGTGGTAATGTTCATGTGATCACTTATGTAGGTCTCAGCATAGGAGGGTGGTGATATTATTTGAAGGATTTTTGTACCTTTCTCCATCTAATTTACACCTTTCAAACTACATTATTAGATTTATTTCATACCTACAATTTCACTGATCTTTTTAAAAACAGATGTTGTGAGAGGAAATGAATGGGGATATCCCTGGAAGCTAGGTACACTGCAATCTAAAGTTATGACACCAACAGTCCAAATACAATGTCCTAGTATGTATTAAAATACTTACTGAATTTTGAACTTCTTTACGAATAGGAAGCTTTTTGAAAAGGGCACACAGTAAAATTTCAAAATAGAGCTACTATAATTATGGTAAAACAAATGTTGAAATATTTATTCTCAATTCATTTGTTGTTTGTTATTTCTTTGTTTTAAGAGAAGAAATAGCATATAATTGGAGTAGTTAAGTAAATGGTAGGCGCTTGCTATTCCTCATCAGTAGTCCTATCTTTGAATAAGAGACATCTTAATTTACAGACACTCTTATTCTGTAAGACAAGGGGGCCGGTCAGTCTGTCAGTCAATGAATGCTGTTTCTAAGGAAAACTTACAGAATATATTGCTACAATAGAGCAATGCTCCTAATAAAAACTATAGTTTATAGCTTTGCAAAATGTAGTTTTTTTCCTCTCTCTTTCTTTCTCATTCTCATTGTCTCACTGTCTGTTCCCATTCTTTGGAAACTTGGCAAGGCCTTGAGGTAAAAGGAACACTATCTCTTGCAATGTTGTTGTTGTTATGTACCGTCAAGTCAGACCCAACTCATAGTGACCCCTCCTTGGGTTTCAGTATCACTACGGAAGTAGATTGCCCAACCTTCCTTCCGAGGAGTGGCTGGTGGGTTTGAACCGCCAGCCTTCTGGTTAGCAGTCAAGTGCCTTAGGCACTATGCTACCAGAGCTCCCACTCTTGCAATAGCAATTTTAAAAATGAAGAACAGGATGGTTGTTTTCTCAAATTCAAAGTCATTCAAATCAGATCCTGGGAAGAGAACTACTGTTTTTAACTCCAAAGATTTCTGATTCCTCTTTCCTTCTGTTTAATCATTTGGATGCCATAGTATGCTAACTATTCAAATTATAATAAGCTCAATTAGGATTTATCCATACTACATGCAGCCAAGTGGCACACAGAAAAGTGCAGACTTCTTTTCTAACCTTTCAGAGCATCAGAGACATAATTTCTAGCTCTGAATCTAAGAATTCAATATGAAAGGTGATGGATATTTTTACCTCAGCAAAAATTGAAGCTAGAGTCTGAGATATGGACATTTAATCATAACTCTTGAAATGAATTATTTGCTAGATTATTGAGAAGCAATCAATGAAATTGTATTATGGGTAAAGACTTTAAACCTAAGGGAACTTTTCTCCAGACTTGCTGTAAATGGCATTTTTCTTTTGGCTTTATATTATGGAAATCCCAAATTTTATAAAAACCCCATCATTTTACCCAATTTTTGATGTAACATCCATAAATAACCCTAGGGCTGGATTTTAATCTTTCATATAATTTCAAAATCCCTTAAAATATTTTCTTTTTCTAATGTGAAAATTCTGCTTAGCCTAGTGATGGAATATTTTTAACTTATATCATCAATTATTTACCTCTGAAGCACTGAAATTTTCATTTGAAAATTCACTTTGTTGTACCTTGAGCGCTCTGAATTTCCCTAATTATGAGTATCCTCACCCATGTGTGATGTCATGCTGACAAGAACTATGAGAAGGCTGAGATTTTACTCTGTTTGCCAGCTAACAAGTTAACCTGCCAGTTTCATGAGTGCTGACAGAGGTTCTTGACTTCTTGGCCAGAAATGAAAGGAATTATAACAGCAAAAGTAGTAACTGGAATATCAGCATGTCACATCAGTTCCCTAAGCCCCAATTCCCATGGGGTGATGCAGATGGGCTTAGATAGGTGTCTGTACATACAGTGGGTGGTGTTCCAAGAGAGGAACCCTAAGCTTGGGGAACCTACTGTTTTATAGAAAGCAGTAAGCAAGCCTAGTTTTCATTTTGTTTTGTTTTGCTTTTGTCTTAGAGAGAGAGACTTTACCTCAGCTCTGAAGATTGGTAGCTGCAAACATACCACTGAGAAATGGCTCAGATAAAAGGTGGTCAGAGCTGTGTATCCTTGCCATATGCAGCAAGATGCATAGGAGGAGGACTCTTTCTGTCAACAGATACAAATATGGATGTTAGCAGAAAACAAAACATACAAAAATCTGTTTATGTATTTCCCCAATTTGTGAAATTCAGTAAAATATAATTACCACCTAATTTTCCACATTGACAATGGTTTCTCCACTGTCTTTGCTGTCTGGGTCCAAGAGTGCACTAGGCTGTAATCTTCACAGGAGAATATTACCAGATCTTTTCTGGTGGGTTCAAACTGCAAGCCTTCCAGTTAGCAGCCAAGTTGTCCTCTTCACTCCTGCTAGGGTTGATAACTCCCCAAGGCTCATGAGTGTTTCTTACTCAAAGGGAATGTCTATAGTCTTTGGCTTGAGATATGGCAATTTTTACCTAGAGTGAGCAGCAGTTGGTGATATTACGACACAGGACCTTAGGAATAATTCTTTTGATGCTTTTCATAAATTGGCCACTGAATTCAAGAGGAGATTGTGCCACATTCAAATATCTAAAGAACCATAGATTGTTATTGTTGTTTGGTGCTGTTGAGTCAGCTTCGACTCAGAGCAACCCTGTGTGCAACAGAATGAAACACTGCCTGGTCTTGTGCCAACCTCACAATCCTTGCTACACCTGAGCCCATTGTTGCAGCCACTGTGTCAATCCATCTCACTGAGGGCCTTCCACTTTTTTGTTGACCCTCCATTTTATGAAGCATGATATCCTTCTGCAGGGAATTGTCCCTTCTGACAACATGATCAAAGTGGGTGAGTCAAAGTCTAGCCAGGCTCACTTCCAAAGAGCATTCTGGCTTCACTTCTTCCAGGACAGATTTGTTAGTTCTACTGGTAGTCCATGGTACTTTCAGTATTCTTCACCAGCATCACAACTCAAAAGCATCAACTCTTCTTCATCTTCCTTATTCATTGTCCAGCTCTCACATGCATATGAGGTGATTGAAAATACTATGGCTCAGGTCAGGCACACTTCAGTCTTCAAAGAGACATCTTTGCTCTCCAGCACTTGAAATAGGTCTTTGATAGCAGATTTGCACAGTGCAATACGTTGCACTGATGTCTTGACTATGGCTTCCATTGGTGTTGATTGTGGAACCAAGTAATATGCAATCTTTGACAACTTCAGTCTTTTATGCATTTATCATGATGTGGCTTATTGGCCCAGTTGTGAAGATTTTTGTTTTCTTTATGTTGAACTGTAATGCATACTGCAAAGTGTAGTCTTTAATCTTCATCAGTAAGTGCTTCGAGTCATCTTCACTTTCAGCAAGCAAAGTGTGTCATCTCATATCACAGATACTTTCTTCCATCTGTAGACAAACTAAGACAATTTTTTAAACAGCTCTTTAGAGAAACTTTAAACAAACGGAAGCTATTGTATTTGGTGAATCTGGTAAATCACTTAGCATCCAATACAAGTAGGGGCCAATTGTCAACATTAGATGATAGCTGATCAAAGAGAAGTTCTTCTACCAGATGTTGCTGAGAGTTATGAGGACATGGCATGAAATATGAACACAGTATCATACTAATGCATCTTCATCCTCCCAATTTGCCTCCTTATGATTATAGATTACCTTATTTACTGTGGTTCTAGCGTGTTGATAAAAAAAAAGGAAGCTTCAGTTAATGCTCATTGATTGCCTAAAGTGTATTTCTAATTGTGTAGGGGATGTGGTATGAAACACAGATATGTTTCAAGAACAGAACAATGTGAGTCTGTATTTATATGATTTTGCTGTTGTTGTTGTAACATGCCGTCGAGTCGGACCCAACTCATAGTGACCCCTCCTTGGGTTTCCGAGGCAGTATCACTAGGGAAGTAGATTGCCCCATCTTCCTTCCAAGGAGTGGCTGGTGGGTTTGGACCGCCAGCCTTCTGGTTAGCAGTCAAGTGCCTTAGGCACTACGCTACCAGAGCTCCCTATCTATATGATAGTGATGATTAAACCTAAAGTTCAAGTAAAACATGGCTGATTTGGTCATAAAGTTTCAAATCCCATGTATTTTGTTCCCGGGCACCTGATTTCACTGGGGAAAGCAAGTTGAGAAGATTGAGGCCAAATCTGTATTACAAATATGGCCTGGTTTTGTGGGTAGTAAACCTGAAAGCAAAGGTGATGCAAAAGCTGTAACAGCAAAAGAAATACACAAAAGTAGTTTGAAATACAAAGATTGTCACAGCTCCCACCGCTTCTG